CAATACATCCATTTATATATTGGGGGTTGCGGTGTGCACTATAGCCAAAGCTATGGGACACATATCTTTGCAATATTCAAGGCTCATAAGGATCCTGACCTGCAGTCATAGCAGTTATGCGCTACTTGATAACCACTAACGATAATTTAATAGTTAAAATAGTTTTATTTAATTTAAACTTTAAACTTAGAATTTAAGAGAAACCGTAGTGCAGACAAGTCCTTTATCGCCTGTTAACTTCCTATGAAAGATATATTTTAGGCTGGAAAGAACTGTCGGCACTTTAAAATATAAATGTGCAATGATCCTCTGCAATTTTCTCAAATTTAGGCAAAGGATGATGCACCACTGCAGTTGTCATCCAAACGCGAAAGCAACAACATAGAGTTTGACTTATCTTAGTAATATCTGACCACGTGATATAATACATTTTGCAGAACCGTTCTAAACAGAACAGCGATCGCCAGCCCGTTCTAAATAAAATTGTGTAATTTAAAAATTGGCATTTAGGTGTTTCCATATACTATTTATTAATGATGCCTTCAGACGAGTGTTTCTTCCCCGATGAAAATCATTATTTGCTCTATGCGACGCTTAATCTACCATCTTCTCATCTTCATTCCACTTATTTCCAGCTTGTCTAAATTCCACAGCCAGAAACAAATGTTATTGCATTTTGACAACCGTTTAATAAATCATGCGAAAGCTGGCAATCAATGTGCAGTCCAGCGAAATGGTAACAACTGTTCTAAATTCGACAGATATTTCATGGTGCTTTCCAATTCTCAGATGCCAACAGTCCCATATTCATATGACGTTTTGTAAAATACTTAGACGATCATTTGGTCAGTAAGTTCTTACGATCACCAAACTTTTCGGGTCGGCGGGAAACGCATCACCGACCGTTTTCAAATTTTTCGAACCTGTGCTGCCAATGTTTGAGCTTCAGCAAAAAACCGTACGAGTCTGACGCGCAATCCTTCCAGACCATTGTCAAAGAACATTCTTGGCATCCTCGGGGATTTAGAACTGTCGATTTAGCATGTAGCATATGCTTCACTTTCCCTTCACGAAGTATCAGGTGAACATACACAAACCAACAGTAACATCTCAACCAGCTGAAGAGGCGACTGAACATCAAAACACTCTCGGATGGATAGTTGAACTCCGGGCCATGAATCACGTTGGAATGCGTGGTCCTGAGAATTCATCTCAGAAAGGCTGCTTTGCTACTTGTACTTGAATTCGAAGTTTCTCAGTCACGGCCTACGATTCGTGAACGTCAGCGAGCATGGAAATGAAGATAGACTTGAAAATAGATCTTGGTCTTCATACGCAGCTTTGCCTTAGTGACAGCGGCTGGAGCTAATTCATACAAGACACCGTTGGAAACTCCAATTATCTAAATTATTTTCTCTCCCAATTTACTTCATCAGAAAACACGACTCAGAGGTACTTCATCACCTGCTTCACTGATTTTCCTTCATTTGAAACATCAACGAACAGGAGAAGGAGAAAGCACTAGACGTTTCGCTTCAGATTTGCTTTCACGCAACTAGGTCACGTTTTGCTCGACTGCGAATCTTTCAGAGAGCGCTGGAAATCATTTTCAGAAGATGCTAACAAAACAAGGTCATCTGTGAACACCAATTTCCTCATCTTGGCACCTGTGCTGGCACACTCGCCCTGGCTACGTCAGACTATTCTATCCATGTACTGCACACAAACAAGTAACGGGCAGGGCGATGCCTTGGATGAAAAGAGTGCTCACGCTGAGAAGCCTCGACTTAATGCCATTGACTCTGGTTCAACAGTTGCTATGAACATGTAGTGATTAGACAGCTCATAGAACTGACGATCGACCCCACATGTCTTAAGGAATTCCTATGGCTTGTTGCGCAAGATCTGGCAAAAGGCAGTCACCAGGTTAAAACGGCGCATATAAACGGAGTGAACGACCTCACACGATATGTCAACAGTCTGGCTTAAGGTAAAAATCTTGTAAGAGGTGCTTCGGCCTTACTTTAATCGAAATTCTTCTGCCTCAAGTCGAGTCAGTTACTCGACGGTTCTTCCTTTCCAAAACCTTTGTGTAGGCCTTTCTAGAGGGAGGCTCAATGTGAAAATTCGTTAATATGTGGAGCATTCTCTGTTATCTCCTTCGGGGAACAACTGCACTACCGTATTGTTTCTTCAGTTCACCGTGGCATCCGCGTAGCCGTTTTAGTATTTCAGACATGTATCAGCCATAACATAACCATATGATTTAATCAGTTCCAGAAGCTTTATCAGTTTTGAAGCTTTTGACATTTACTGTGCCTTCATCCATTTAAAGACTATATGGGTTTCAGAATGCTTCTGAGAAAAGTCTTCCCGCCTTTGTTCTCTTCATTACGTTCCTCAAAGTGTGCTGGCTATAGCCGAAGTACTTCTGTCATTTGATTTGAACACAGCGGTAAATGTACTTCAGGACTCTCACACCGCCCTTCATTCCATTTTGGATGAGGCAGATGACCCCTTCAAAATACCTTGCTTGACGTCTGAAAATTCTGTTCCAGAATATCACCGAAATTTTCTCATGAATTACCCATCGCGGACACTATTCCTTTTGCCGCCATACTGCGCGCTTTTTCGTACTGCATTTGAAGTCAAGTTTTTGCCTCCGAATAATCTATTCAATGCAACAAACATGTTTTTGACGACTAGCAAAACCTCCGGCATCCTCTAAGAATTCGATCAGGATTCACAGATTCCTGTCAAATCGGCTATGGGCTGCAGATTTGGCGACAGGAACGAGTAGAACTCGCTCAGAGAGCTTTTTATTACGCCATTAATTATCACTGCCATATGTATAAACCATGTTGGCTGCAAGTTCTGCACTGGTATATGCAAAAGATAATGTTTTGCCCTGGATACCCTGATTACTTCTTCCTCGTAGTCCACAAATGGTGCTTCATCGTTTACAATGGTGGATGCAAACAGAAAATTGATAATCGATTGACAGTTCTGCATTTCTCTTAATGCTAATACCCATTACAGAAGGTTGTACGTCAGACGATACGATTATCAAACTGATCAACGACCTCACTGTAGAAGGTTCCTTAAACCAAGAATACTGATGTACGATTCGACGATCAGTGATAATGCTCAAATATACTATCTGTCTTTTTGCACAAACAGTTTCATGCCGCCTTTATTGAAGTTGCCAAGGCCGCTTTTTCCAATCAAGAACTTCTGCATTTTGCTATCGGTATCGACATGCACACTGATTTCGTCCATGGGAGTGGTGGATTCCTAGTCGAGACGTCGTACGGAGTTTCAACTCTTTAATCTAGGGATAATTTATATTTTCCCCTTAGAATGAGTATGTAAACCTGCAACAAGGTCAAAAAGTTAGTTTGGCGCAACTTCAGTGCGAGTACCCCACTCTAGCCATTGATAGGCTTCCGTTCAGTGATTACCTCCGTCAGATTGGGTTCATGCAAACCTGAGTAGAACAGGTTCAGAATTCACGAACCCAGCAGCTTCGCAGACGAGAGTACACTTGTGTAAAGTTCGAGTCTAGCTGTTTCATCAGCAGATTCACGCCTTTTTTTCACTGAAAAAAATATCCTGAAGTGAGTGTCTGAGCGTATTTTCTCCGAACTGATTTTCTTCTGCCGAAAATCTGACGTTACCGTTGGAACGGGAAAGTTGGAAGTCAGTTGTCTGGCGCTGCAATCTTTGCATCCCGAAAGCA